CGATAGGCTCAATTATCAAAGGAAGTATGTCTTTGAAGAGCCATGTCGGGACTGCGTCTAACATGCAAGTTGAGGCTTTTGAGGATGTGACCACAGAGATCACCTCTGCTTGGCTCACAGCCATGAATTTATTAAGGCCCACTGAAGAGTCTAAGTGGGAAGTCACGTATGCCGCTTCAACCTGTCCACCACTAACAGCAGGAGCAACCTCCTCCAGTTTGTCACGGATGGATGTAATTTTATTATTAAAGAAGTGGAGAAAGTCGACACTGCTCAGTGAGCTTGGAATTTTAGGCTCGATTGCGCTATGGCAGTTTGTGAGTTTAGCGACGGTGCCAAACAAAAATCTACTGTTATTTTTATTGGCTTCTATTAAAGTTGAATAGTATTGAGTTCGAGCCCTGCGAAGGGCATTCTTGTAGTTTCGGAGACCTGCTTTCCACTCCCTGTGGACAGGCTCCGAGTGGGAGTGGCGATATAGCCTCTCCAATTTTCTGACGTCCTGTTTTAAAGTGTGGAGTTGAACACTGTACCAGGGCGACGATGATCTAATCCTAATGGTTTTCTGTTTTAAAGGAGCTGCTGCATTTAATGCAGATTTTAAAGACTCCATAGTGTTGCCCACCGTTTGGTCAATGACTGAGGGACTGCAGCTGCTGTGAACAGGTTCACCTGCAGCAGTATTCAACATAGGCTGTATTAGTTCTTTGAACCTTGTGATAGATTTATCATTTAAGGTTCTTTTCATTATGGTTTTATCTTGCGGGACAGGAAAGTCCTCCAAAGCGAGATCAAACGTGATCAAGAAATGGTCAGACAGCAACGAGCTTTGACGCTGGATGTCAACATTGGAGACATCACAGCCGTAGGTCAGGACAAGGTCCAAGGTGTGGTTATGAATGTGAGTAGGTTCCTCGACATTCTGAGTAAAACCAACACCATCTAGTACGGCGCTGAAAGCTTTGTTTAAGCTGTCAGTGCTGTCGTCCACATGTATATTGAAGTCTCCAGCTATAACTATGTTTTCCCATTCCAAAACTAGGTTTGAAATGAAGTCAGAGAATTCTGTTAGGAACTCGCTGTAAGGACCAGGAGGTCGGTATAAAACTATAAATAGTACTGCTTTTTGTTTTCTCCACCCAGGACAGGTGATTGAAAGTGTTAAGTTTTCAAACCAGTGAAAAGCGTTGTTGGTTTTGGGACTAAGAACCAAGTTGGTGTGTGATATAATCACAACACCACCGCCGCGACCTGTAGCTCTGGCTTTCTGGTAGTTAACATGCGTCGGAGGAGTGCACTCATTCAATCTAACGTACTCGTCCTGTTGGAGCCAAGTCTCCGAGAGCGCAAACAAATCCAAGCCCTTGTCTATAATAAGTTCGTTTATGAGAAGCGATTTAGACGAGATTGATCTGACGTTCATTAAACCACATTTAACAACCCTACCGCTAGAACTATTTCTGTCTGTCTGAACTTTTATTAAGTTACTGTGTCTGACACCCAGGTCAGATTTCCTCATATAGTGCTTTAGACTTCAAGCGAGGAACACACACAGTTTCAATCTGACTAGGTTCTGAGGCTAGTAACTGAGCACACACAGGCACACACACACACACACACACACAGTTTCAATCTGACTAGCTTCTGAGGCTAGTAACTGAACAGATGGGGGCTCAGAGGTTGTGGCAGAGCAGCTCTGCACCCGGGCCTCAGTTCTGCATCGTCATTTGAGCCGAGCAGAACAGTTTAGAGCCAGGGCCAAATTCTTAGCCAAAAGGGATGTACCCGCCAACGTTGGGTGGATATCATCCGAGCGGATGAGACCGGGCTTTCCCCAAAAGGCACTCCAATTGTCAACATGAACAACACCACTTGGAGGGCACCAGCCAGACAGCCAGCGGTTGAAAGCCGAGTGTCTGCTGAATGCTTCTGCACTGCTAGTGCTAGGTAGGGGCCCAGAGAAGATGACAGTGTCGGCCATTGTGCTAGCCAGCTTGCACACGGCGGCGACTTGCAGCTTCAACACCTCGGACTGTTTCCGCCGAACGTCATTACCACCCGCGTGAATAAAAATTCGACGGAAACGCTGCTTGTACATATTTTTAGTGGTAGGGGAAACCGGAGCACCCGGAGGAAACCTACGCAGACACGGGGAGAACATGCAAACTCCACTCAGAAAGGCCCTGGTCCAACCGGGATTCGAACCCAGGACCTTCTTGCTGAGAGGCGAGAGTGCTATCCACTCAGCCACCGTGCCGCTCAGGTGGGCTGTGTTTCTACGTCAATACAAACTGGTGTAACGATGTGACAGTGATCTCCAAGCACTGCTCTCCTGCTCTAGAATATCTTTTCATCCATTGTAAACCATTTTACTCCCCTCGTGAGTTTGTTTCATTCATTCTTGCCTCTGTTTACATACCGCCATGCGCGGACGCAGAGCAAGTACTGTGTATGGAACGTTTATACCAGGACTCTCTGATTATTATCCTGGGGGATTTTAATAAGGGAAACTTGAGCCAGGAATTACCCAAATACAGACAGTTTATCAAATGCCCGACCAGAGAGGAGAACACTCTGGATCACTGTTACACCACCGTGCGCGGAGCTTTTCGCGCTGTTCCCAAGCCAGCCCTCGGCTTCTCAGATCACTCCATGATACATCTGGTTCCTGCTTACAGACAGAGACTAAAGCTCTCGAAACCTGCAGTGAGGAGCTCCAAAGTGTGGTCTGATGAAGCTGTGGAAGAGCTGCATGCATGGAATCTACAGACTGGGACCTTTTCAGAGCTGCCACAGATAGTTTGGATGAATACACGGACACTGTGACGTCATACATTCACTTCTGTGAGGATAGCATCATTCCAACAAGGACCAGGGTCATCTATAACAACGACAAACCCTGGTTCACTGCTAAACTCCGGCAGCTCAGGAAAGCAAAGGAGTCTGCTTTCAGGGAGGGGGACCGCAGCGGCTACAAAGCAGCTAAATATCAGTTCAGGAAAGAACTGAAAGCAGCCAAGTCCCAGCACAGAGAACGACTACAGGAGCAGTTTGGTAACAACGATACTGCTTCTGTCTGGAGGGGCCTACGGGAGATCACCAACTACAAACCCAAAGCCCCCCCCTGTGCTGACGACCACAAGCTAGCTGACGATCTGAACTTATTTTTCAGTCGCTTTGATGCTGCCCCTGACACCTCTCCCTCCCCCACCCCCCACTACTCTAACGACCCACCCATCAGCCCTGCCCCCAGCCTAACAATAGCCGCTAAAGAGATTAAACAACTCTTCTTGAGGCTGCACCCCCGCAAAGCTCCTGGCCCGGACCACGTGTCTCCGGCCACTCGGAGACACTGCGCCAGTGAGCTTACTCCTGTGTTCACTGACATTTTCAACTCCTCTCTGCAGTCCTGCCATGTCCTGCTTCAAATCCTCCATCATTGTCCCCGTCCCGAAGAAGCCCAGGATCACAGGACTCAATGACTACAGACCTGTAGCACTTACGTCTGTCGTCATGAAGTCATTTGAACGCCTGGTTCTCTCCCATCTCAAGTCCCTCACCTCCCCCCTCCTGGACCCCCTGCAGTTCGCCTACAGAGCCAACAGATCTGTAGACGACGCCATTAACCTGGCCCTCCACCACATCCTACAGCACCTGGACTCCCCGGGGACCTACGCCAGGGTCCTGTTCGTGGACTTCAGCTCTGCCTTCAACACAATCCTGCCATCCCTGCTCCAGGACAAGCTCTCCCAGCTCAACGTGCCCGATTCCACCTGCAGGTGGATCACTGACTTCCTGACGGACAGGAAGCAGCGAGTGCGTCTGGGGAAGAATGTCTCGGACTCTCGGATTATAAATACAGGAGCCCCACAGGGCTGTGTTCTTTCTCCCCTGCTCTTCTCCCTGTACACCAACCACTGCACCTCCAGCCACGACTCCGTGAAGCTGATCAAGTTCGCGGACGACACCACCCTCATTGGACTCATCTCCAACAACGATGAGTCCGCCTACAGGAGGGAGGTGGACCGGCTGGTGTCCTGGTGTCTCCTACAGGAGGGAGGTGGACCGGCTGGTGTCCTGGTGTCTCCTACAGGAGGGAGGTGGACCGGCTGGTGTCCTGGTGTCTCCTACAGGAGGGAGGTGGACCGGCTGGTGTCCTGGTGTCTCCTACAGGAGGGAGGTGGACCGGCTGGTGTCCTGGTGTCTCCTACAGGAGGGAGGTGGACCGGCTGGTGTCCTGGTGTCTCCTACAGGAGGGAGGTGGACCGGCTGGTGTCCTGGTGTCTCCTACAGGAGGGAGGTGGACCGGCTGGTGTCCTGGTGTCTCCTACAGGAGGGAGGTGGACCGGCTGGTGTCCTGGTGTCTCCTACAGGAGGGAGGTGGACCGGCTGGTGTCCTGGTGTCTCCTACAGGAGGGAGGTGGACCGGCTGGTGTCCTGGTGTCTCCTACAGGAGGGAGGTGGACCGGCTGGTGTCCTGGTGTCTCCTACAGGAGGGAGGTGGACCGGCTGGTGTCCTGGTGTCTCCTACAGGAGGGAGGTGGACCGGCTGGTGTCCTGGTGTCTCCTACAGGAGGGAGGTGGACCGGCTGGTGTCCTGGTGTCTCCTACAGGAGGGAGGTGGACCGGCTGGTGTCCTGGTGTCTCCTACAGGAGGGAGGTGGACCGGCTGGTGTCCTGGTGCAGTGGTAACAACCTGGAGCTGAACGCCCAGAAGACAGTGGAGATGATTGTGGACTTCAGGAAGAGCACTGTCCCCCCGCCCCCACCCTCCGTGATGGACTCCCCCATCACCTCTGTGGAGTCCTTCCGTTTCCTGGGCACCACCATCACCAGGACCTCAAGTGGGAGCCGACCATCAGCTCCCTCATCAAGAAGGCCCAGCAGAGGATGTACTTCCTGCGGCAGCTCAGGAAAGCCAAGCTGCAGTTCTACACGGCCATCATCGAGTCCATCCTCACCTCCTCCATCACCTCCTCCATCACCTCCTGCATCACCTCCTATATCACCTCCTCCATCACCTCCTCCATCATCTCCTCTATCACTTCCTCCATCACCTCCATCACCTCCTCTATCACCTCCATCACCTCCTCCATCACCTCCTCCATCACCTCCTCCACCACCTCCTCCATCACCTGCTCCATCACCTCCTCCATTACCTCCTCCATCACCTCCTCCATCACCTCCTCCAGCACCTCCTCCATCACCTCCTCCATCACCTGCTCCATTACCTCCTCCATCACCTCCTCCATCACCTCCTCCATTACCTCCTCCATCACCTCCTCCATCACCTCCTCCATCACCTCGTCCATCACCTCCTCCATCACCTCCTTCATCACCTCCTCATCACCTCCTCCATCACCTCCTCCATCACCTCCTCCATCACCTCCTCCATCACCTCCTCCGTCACCGTGTGGTTCGCTGGAGCCACAGTCAGGGACAAACAGAGACTACAGTGCATTGTGCGCTCTGCAGAGGAAGTGATCGGCCGCAGCCTTCCATCGCTGCAGGACCTGTACGTCGCCCGAGCTCGAGGCCGGGCTGGTCGTATCACAGCCGACCCCTCTCACCTGCACATGGACTATTCCAACCACTCCCCTCTCACCTGCACATGGACTATTCCAACCACTCCCCTCTCACCTGCACATGGACTATTCCAACCACTCCCCTCTCACCTGCACATGGACTATTCCAACCACTCCCCTCTCACCTGCACATGGACTATTCCAACCACTCCCCTCTCACCTGCACATGGACTATTCCAACCACTCCCCTCTCACCTGCACATGGACTATTCCAACCACTCCCCTCAGGCAGGAGGCTGCGGTCCATCAGGACTAGAACCTCCCGCCACAAGAACAGTTTCTTCCCCTCTGCTGTTGGACTCTTGAACACTTCTTAACCTGTCCCCCGCCCTTTATAAAGTCACTTTACTGCCCATCATACGTCACTTTACTTCACTGTACTGCTGTCACCTTACATTGTGTGCACCATGTGCACTTGTATATTGTAAATAGTAACTGTAACTCTATTTTAAATTTAAATTTATTCCTTAGAAGTGTTTTTTATTCTATATTTTTATTCTTTATTTTATTATCTCTTTCTGACTGTTGCACTGAGCCAAAGCAATTTCCAAGTCTGTGACTTCCTGTTACTTACATGGCAATAAAAATGATTCTGATTTTGATTGTTTTGAGGGAGTTTCCTTTGTTTCTTTTTCTCGGCGTGGGAGAGCTGAGAGTGTCGGGGCCTGGGAGCGGTCCAGCAGGCTGGAGAGGCGACCGGCTCCGGGGCTTTTTCTGCTGCTGCTGCTCTGATTTAAAGGGGACCTACTGCTTTTAGGATTTTGGCTTTTCATAGTTGTTATTCCGTTAAATTTGCAAAATTTGCGACGGAACATTGTGTTATGAGAGAGTTAAACGTTTTAAACACCATTTAGTAAACAGAAGTATTGAATATTATATGTTTTTTGAAATCCAAAGATTAGTGCAAAAAAACCTTTGCTTTTCTTTTTTGAGTCCATTATTGTATCTCTGATATATTTCATAACTGTTTGTGAGAATGTTTTTATGTATTTCCATTTTAGTTACAAAAAGCCGTAGTTCAAAACATTTAAATTAGAATCTGTGTTAAAAGCTATTATTGATCATAGACTTCGTCTGAAAAGAGAAAGAGGGAATTAGGATTGCTGCTCCTGCTGCTGCTGCTGCTGCTCCTGCTGCTACTGCTGCTGCTGCTGCTGCTGCTACTGCTGCTGCTGCTGCTGCTACTGCTGCTGCTGCTGCTGCTACTGCTGCTGCTGCTGCTGCTGCTGCTGCTGCTACTGCTGCTGCTGCTACTGCTACTGCTGCTGCTGCTACTGCTGCTGCTGCTGCTGCTACTGCTGCTGCTGCTCCTGCTGCTGCTGCTGCTGCTCCTGCTGCTACTGCTGCTGCTGCTGCTGCTGCTGCTGCTGCTGCTGCTGCTGCTGCTACTGCTGCTGCTGCTGCTGCTGCTGCTGCTACTGCTACAGATAAAAATCACAAAGTGCTGTACAAGGTAAAAGCAGAGGTGATAAACACCATGGTGTGGAATATACCAAACTTCTCCATTATTGTCCATGTGGTCATCTGAGACAAATTCAGCATATCCATTGCAAAACATGTCTTCTACAAAAGCAGAATACTCCAAACTTTGGAGACGTTGCTCTGCAATACATCGGTATGAGGTAAGTTGACCCTTTGCTCTTTAAAAGGCAGAACTACACAGTAGTGTCCATTAGTGCAGCAGATCTCCTCATTATGTCCATAAACTTGATGTCATCTCGAGACATTTCCTTTTGCTCGTGTGAGGTTTTTTCCATTAAAGTCATGGTTGTTGAACCAACATACAATGTATTGTTGTATAGCCCTAGGTCACAACAGAAGTCATCTCAGAGACTTAACAAAACCATTGAAATCACCAACACAGGTCAGAGAATCAACAGTTAACACACGAAGAATACAAAGCACACACAGAAGAAAATGTCCATACATGTTGTAGAATGCTAAAGTGTCCTGATCATCACCAATCCTTTCTGTTGGACACTAACTGTCCAACAAGACCCTCCTGCATCCACAAGGAACAACTCTTAAAAAACCCAGTGGGAAAACGTGAGAAACCTTGGGGAGAACTAGGGAAACCCACAGGGAGGGAGACCCATATGAGAAAGGGATCCGCTCCTCCGGACGGACAGACTAATGATCTAGGACCTAAGCTAGCTACAGAACGTGGACCAGTGGACGCTGAACGTGGACAGGTCCGGTGCAGGACTGAAGCACTCCCAGGCGGGTCGGGCGGGGCAGTCCGCAGGTGTAGATGGAAGAGGCCAGGCTCAGAGATCCCGTCATCGTACCATGAAACAGACAATGGGACAACGGGTGAATAGCAATGAACAAACTACAGTCAGAATCCTAAAAATGCTAAACAGATAAAGTAGGAAGGAGGAGAGGATAGTGCTCAAGTTACCATACTTCTCCAGCAGGGGGCGCCCTATGCAGCTTGACTGACAGTCTGAGGAGTTTAACCTTCTCCGAGTCTTACCTTCCTAGCCATATGTTAAACTAAAGAGGACTGTTTTAAACCTAGCCTTGAATAAAGAGATTCATGGATTACACACCAGGTGTGCCAAACCGATCCAAGCAAACCTAATTATATATTATATATCATATACATCATATATACCATACATGCCATATATATCATAAATAATACACAACATAACATACAGCATAATATATAACATAATATACAACATAACACAATACATTATTGAATAATATATAACATAATATATAACATAATACAGCATATATATATAATATATACACTACATATTATATATTACCTAATTATATGCTAAATTAAAGTAAAGTGCTTTAAGCCTGGCCTTGAATGTGGAGACCGTATCTGCTTCCTTAACATAAATGGGAAGCTGATTCCACAGTAAAGGAGCTTGGTAGCTAAATGCTCTGCCACCAACAGTGACCTTTGAGACCTTAGGGACCACCAGACGTCTGGCGTTTTGTGAGCGCAACGCTCGACTTGGTTGATACGACACTAACGTGTCTTGGAGATAAGAAGGAGCCAAGCCATTTATGGCTTTATATGTTAAGAGTAGGATTTTAAACTTTATTCTGTACTCCACAGGGAGCCAGTGGAGTGATTTTAACACCGGAGTTATGTGCTCCCTCCTTTTGGTACCTGTTAAGATCCTAGCTGCTGTATTCTGAACGAGCTGGAAGCTCTTCAAAGAGGCTTTAGGGCACGCTGCCAGTAAAGCGTTACAGTAGTCGAGCCTTGAGGTGACAAACGCGTGAATGAGTTTTTCCGCGTCACTTTTAGGAAGGAAATTCCTAATTTTAGCGATGTTCCGTAAGTGGAAGTACGCCGTTTTAGTTGCTTGGCTTATATAAGCCTTGAAGGAGAGTTCTTGGTCAAAAATGACTCCAAGATTCCTCACAGTGTTACTGGGTATAATACTGACATTATCAGAGTAATTATCTGGTTAGTGAGGGAGTCACGCAGGCGCTTCGGACCGAGTAGGATCACTTCTGTCTTCTCCGGGTTGAGAAGTAGGAAGTTAAGAGTCATCCACATTTTAAGGTCCTTTATGCAGCACTGAGCTTTTCTAGCTGATCTGTCTGATTTGGCTTCATCGACAGATAAAGCTGTGTGTCATCTGCAGCAGTGGAAATTAATTCCATGCTTTTTAATAATGTTTCCTAACGGCAGCATGTAGAGAGTAAAAAGAATCGGTCCGAGTACCGAACCCTGCGGCACACCGAATTCCACTCCAGAATAAGGCGACGAGTTCTGATTTACGTTGACGAAGTGATACCGATCTGATAAATAGGATTTAAACCAGCCAAGGGCTGTTCCTCTAAGACCTATATCACATTCTAGCCTCTGCAGTAGAATGCTGTGGTCTATTGTGTCAAATGCAGCACTAAGGTCCAGTAGGACCAGCACTGACACTTGTCCATTATCGGCAGCTAGTAGTAAGTCATTTGTGACTTTGACTAGTGCCGTTTCAGTGCTATGATGAGCTCTGAATCCTGATTGAAAGACTTCAAACATATTATTTTCCTGCAGGTGGCAGCGAAGCTGCTCAGCTATAAGTTTTTCCAGGATTTTAGATATAAAAGTGAGGTTTGAGATCGGTCTGTAGTTTGTAAGTATTTCTGGGTCCAGGTTTGTTTTCTTCAGAAGGGGTTTGATTACCGCGGTTTTAAAAGCTTGTGGGACATAGCCACATTGTATGGATGCGTTTATTATATTTACGATAGGCTCAATTATCAAAGGAAGTATGTCTTTGAAGAGCCATGTCGGGACTGCGTCTAACATGCAAGTTGAGGCTTTTGAGGATGTGACCACAGAGATCACCTCTGCTTGGCTCACAGCCATGAATTTATTAAGGCCCACTGAAGAGTCTAAGTGGGAAGTCACGTATGCCGCTTCAACCTGTCCACCACTAACAGCAGGAGTAACCTCCTCCAGCTTGTCACGGATGGATGTAATTTTATTATTAAAGAAGTGGAGAAAGTCGACACTGCTCAGTGAGCTTGGAATTTTAGGCTCGATTGCGCTATGGCAGTTTGTGAGTTTAGCGACGGTGCCAAACAAAAATCTACTGTTATTTTTATTGGCTTCTATTAAAGTTCAATAGTATTGAGTTCAAGCCCCGCGAAGGGCATTCTTGTAGTTTCGGAGACCTGCTTTCCACTCCCTGTGGACAGGCTCCGAGTGGGAGTGGCGATATAGCCTCTCCAATTTTCTGACGTCCTGTTTTAAAGTGTGGAGTTGAACACTGTACCAG